ATTCCTAACATGAGGGGTAAGAGGAAAAGCAAGCTGTAAAACACATAGTAAGCTGTAAAAAGCATAGTAAGACACAATTTATGTACTTAAACTCCATATGACTATGTATTTCCATATATAAATATATATGCATGAGAAGAGATAGAAGTAACTGAGAAGCATAGGCTAAAATGGTAACTATTGTTACCACTTGAGTAGGGGTACCAGGGGCACTTTTGACAGTATCTCTATTTTTTATTACTTTTCCTAAATCTTTCTTACATAGTAAGTTTCCATACAAAATGATATTTCACATTTGTAAGAAGTATTACACATAATGGTTCCCTTAGTTTGTCCAAGAGTTTACTAAATACAACTGATGTTTTATCAGATTATCATACTTTTATCTTCACTGTTGCTAACATTTCTGTCACTGCTCAATGGACTTTGCAGTGTAAGGAAATTGTATTACCTTCTTGAGTACCAGGTAAGATGATATAGTCTGTAAGAAATGTCAAAATCAAATGAGAACTGGTATACTACAAATAAAGGCCATTCAAACAGGCAAGAAGCTCATCCTGATCTGTAGCTTTAATCTGACACATTTGGATATATGTCCAAGACTTCTAAAGGGGCCAAGATTTTGGTCAGGTGTGGGACTTGAACCCTGGGCCTGGGCAATGTCCCTCAGCTCTTCAGCGCAAGGCTAGGGTTCTACCACTTGAGCCACAGTGCCACTTCCAGTTTTTCTGGTGGTTAATTGGAGATAAGAGTTTGACAGACTTTCCTGCCTGGGCTGGTTTTGAACTGTGATCTTCAGATCCCAGCCTCCTGAGTAGCTAGGATTACAGGCGTGAGCACTGGTACCCAACTGCCAGCATGTTTTCAAAGTAAGTTTTACTAGCTATGCCATTTAACACTAATCTTCCATGTTTTCCAAAAAGAAAATGATGCAACAGAAAGCCTAACACTCAAAAGCATACAATTTTTCATAAAAGAGAAGATAAATACATTGTGGATAGCAAAGCAATGCTAAAGGCCAAAGGGATACTTATTTAGAAAAGGAGCATTTCTGCTTGAAATTGGGAAGCCATTTTTTGTGGGGGAGGATGGCTGTACTAGTGTTTGAACTCAGGGCTTCAAACTTGCTAGGCAGGTGATTTATTGCTGAGCCACACACCCAGGCAAAATTGTCTATATTCTTAAATTCTAAGCTTCCTCATTGTGTATGACAGTACTAAAAAATAATCACAATTATGAAACTGTTGCTCAAAACTGTAATTTGTTTTCTTAAGAGAAAGGCCAAAATCCAAGACTTGTGTAATATAAATTTTGATCCACAACACCACATATATTACTCTGTTAAAGGTGTTTAAATAACAGTAATCTGAGTTGGGAAAATAGTAAGAAAAAGAAACAGCAACATACTATGGTCAAGCCTATGATCATATCAAGTACAAGTAAGTCAAAGAATCCCAGTATTAAAATCCAGTAGAGCACTTTGTAATTTAGGAAAGAGTACTTAAAAGATACTTGGTCTTTGTATCTTTAGGTATTATTGTCAGTATCCTATTGGTCACTAGTCTATAGCCTTTTCTAGATCTCAACATTCTAAAATGGATTCCTTCTTTTACCCTCTTTCTACATAGAAAACTGTGATAACTCTTCTACAATGGCACACAGAGGTGAAAAGACTGTGAAAATTAAAAGCACAGATCAAATTACTTCCAGAGAACCCCTAAGTGGTAATTATGAAAGTAAATTATATTATCAGGAGATAATATAAGATCAATTATGTAGACTCCTGGTAGCACTTACAACATAGCAAACTAAATTACATATTAAAAGAAACAAATATAACAGACTTTTAAATAATCTAACATTTGGCAAAGTGCATATATTACTTTTAGTTAGAACCTCTTATAAAATGCATTTTCAAAGTGATTTTAAACATTGGCAAGCTGTAGTTTTATGTTCTTAACTTTCATTTTATTTATTATATTCTTTCCCTATTTCCCCAACCTCATCTTCAACTTCTAGAAACCTAAGAAGGAATTTTTCTTTAGTAACAAAGAAAAATAACTCTACTAATAATATATAACTAATGTTTTAAAAAAGGACTTAAATGAAGTGACAACGTAATTTTAGGTATTTTTAGATTTCAAACAAAACAAATCCAAATCTTCATACTGCATGCAATAACATGATTCTTGATGTAACATGAGGCTTTTTCTGTTCAGATCATTATTTGCCCTCACAGACTTTTCTGCAAAAGGCTGGCTTTGAACCATGATCCTCAGATCTCAGCCTCCTGAGTAGCTAGGATCACAGGAGTGAGCCACTTTTTTTTTTTTTTTTTTTGATGCTGGTTCTGGGGCTTGAACAGGAGGTCTACGGCCTGGCTTGAGATTTTTCCTCAATGCTAGTGCTCTACCAGTTAAGTCACAATTCCACTTTTGGATTCTGTTCTTTTCGCTGATTAACTGGAGATAGGAGTCTTACAGATTTTCCTAGCTGGCTTTGAACTGCCATCCTCAGTGGCTAGGATTACAGGCTTGAGCCACTGGTGCCTGGCTACAGTATGCATTTTTAAAAACAACAATAATCTTCCTCTGTGATCACAAACAAAATGAGAAACACCCATCATTGTTAGAAACAATGATCGTACACTTTTAACAGACTATTTTAATGGCTTTCTAATGGCCAACTTTAAATTGTTATTAAGTATACATACTTACTATTTGAAAAAACTACTCCTACTCCTACCTAGCTATTTTCAATACACAACACCGTAACTTGTGTCTTCTTCCTAATAGCACAATTGTTAGGACAGGAACATAAAATGGTATATCACAGCGATGAAGAAAAGTATCTGAGAAACATTCTCAGCCTTTGTTTATCATCTCTTTATCTTTCTCTTATACACATAGTGCAGTTCATTGGTCCTATCATAGCTCTTTCACAGGATTCCTACTTAACAGGTTCTCAGACCTTAAAACCACAGATATATGTTGCTATTGAATTAATCTGAATTAAAGGTTTTATAAGAGCAGACTGAAATGCTTGAGATTAAGAAGAAAAACAGTAACGACAAGGGAGTGTAAAGAAAAAAGTAATATGGAGAATAGTTTATACCTTACCACTAAGCATCTGGCATCTCCGGAGCAAAGGTTTCTATATTAAGTTGATTTTGCATAAATGTATACAATTAAAAGAGTATAAAGGGGCTGGGAAGGTGGCTCCGTGGTAGAGTGCTTGCCTTGTATGCATGAGGCCCTGGGTTCGATTCCTCAGCACCACATAAGCAGAAAAAAAAAAAAGCTGAAAGTGGCGCTGTGACTCAAGTGGTAGAGTGCTAGCCTTGGGCTGAAGAGGTGAAGGACAGCTCCCAGGCCCAGAGTTCAGGGCCCAGGCAGAAAAAAAATAAAAATAAAAAAGTGAAGTATAGTTCTCGTCAGATTTTTTTTTTAAACAAATCTCAATGTCATCACTATTCTAAAAAAATTTCGCTCCAATTAAGAAATTATTTTCCATCAATAACAATAGGAATGACAGCTTTCTTTATTCATTCTAAACCAGCCAGAGGGGCAAAAACAATTTTTCCTGTGACTCATGATTCCTGCTGCCCCTCTAAATTCCAGAATAAAAACTAACCTCACAGGAAACCAAGAGAGTAAAAAACAATTTCAGGTGACTCTCCACTCTACCTTCAAATACACATAACAGAAAGGTCAGTGTGAGTTTGGAAAGGACAGTATTAATGTAAAGTGAAAGCTCAGAGAACACAATCCTAAGCTAAAATCTCAGCTTTACAGAAGTGTCAAGCAATTCAACTTTTAACCCATTTGGGAAGGTTTAAGTTATTAACTTAAAAATATGGAAGTACCTAAAACCTCTTTACTGCCTCATAACTGTTAATGCTAACAACTTTATTGCATATACTGCTTCTTATAAGAAAATCCAGGGCTGGGAAACAGGCTCAGTGGTAGAGTGCTTGCCTTGTATGCATGAAGCCCTGGGTTCGATTCCTCAGCACCATATAAGCAGAAAATGCCAGAAGTGGCACTGTGGCTCAAGTGGTAGAGTGCTAACCTTGAGCTGAAGAGTTGAGGAACAGTGCCCAGGCCCAGAGTTCAGGCCCCACAACTGACAGAAGAAAAAAAAAATATTCAGGAACCATTCCACTTTACCTTATACAACACGTTTACTAGTTTTTCCAAGCATGACAGAAATGGAATATATAGATAGATAGATGGTAATTACCACAATCTGCGTGTTCCTTCTCTGAGCAATGCCTAATTCTATTAAAATTAATACATTTCTGTCAATGCTAAAGAAAAAAAACTACTATGGGATTAATTTACAAAGTATACAAGAATATAATAATCTTACAATAAATCTTTCCAGTGTTCATTATAACTGTATTTCATAAATCATTCCCTCTACACAAACTCAGAAGGATAGCTTCTACAAAATGACAAAGAATTTTCTGTGGTCATTTCTGACAAGCAAAGACTTGCTAACCAGGGATCTAAAAATGCTACTAAAGAATATAAACTACCACGAACATGCCATATGAATGAATTTTAGTGAGTGGCAACTGGAACCCCTTTCTCTCTTCTCATGTCAGTGATCCCATCTCATAGAAAGCCTAAATAGATACTAAAACTTAACATGTGAAACTTAACATGTACCACTACAATTCTTCTAATGTAAGAAACTAAAACTGTCAGGTAAGTGAAACTTAACATGTACCACTCCAATTTTTCTAATGTAACCATTCTGGAAAAAACTCAGCAGACATTGTCTTTTCTTTTAGAAAGAACAAACAAAATCAAAGAACAAAACAGAGAAAGAAAAGAGAAATCAATACCCAAAGGCAAATGCTGCTATTCCATCTTAAAATACAAGGCAAAAAAAAAAAAAGTGACAACAGCAACAATTCAAGTAAAATATGTGTGAAATATGCCACTTTCAAGTTAAGACAAAAGTGAAGGGGAATAATAATCTTTATAACAGAGTCAAAAGCTTAGGCATTATTCCAAATGTTAATCCACTTTACAGTCATCAATGAAACTACCGTATATACTTTTGCACCTTGCGGTTGGTAAAAGCAGATAAAATATTTAATATGTAATTTACAACCAGCTCAGCATACAGGATGGATATAGATTATATCAAAGTAGTAGACAGTTAGGGGTCTGTGCAAACCCTGCAAAAATAGTACTTCAGGTATCTGCTAATCAAAAAAAAAAAAATTGCAGTTTAGGAGTGATACAATTCAAACTACCACAAAATACAAAGAACTGCAAAAAATGTATACCATACCAACAACATATATAAGTTATTAAATAAAGATTTGATTTAAAAGAATATAAATGAAGCCTTTAAGTATTTTCTACATGCATATTATTCCTCATTAAAGAAAAAAAATGTAAAAAGGCCATTGGTAATTGCTTTGTTAACATTTGTAGAAAATGCCAATTCTCTGGTCACAAACTCCACTAAGTTTAGCACTTAAGGTCTCTGCAGTGTTATAAACGTAATTTAAAATACTGTTAATTCTATAACTCCATTGGTAAAATAATGTGACTTGGAATATGGCAGTCTTCATGTTGAGGGCAATGATCCACAGTTTTGTTTTTAAATTTCTTAGGCATGAACAGTTATCCAGAAGAACAGCACCCTCCTCCACTGCTCTGGGCTTGAGGTTCATCATCAATAATCTGTACACCTCGCCTGGCAGCTCCTGGTTGACTAGAGCCATTGCCTTTTGCCCTCTCATCCACTTGGGCTGTCTCTATCATTCCTGAGAGAGAGAAAGAACAAATTATTAGTAATTAGACTCTTTTGAGTTTTCTCTTTCTATAATTTTAGGATACCACTATGATTGCTATTTCTGACTTTCGATAAAAAAAAAAGTTGAATATAATGAATGCTGTCTCAACTCATTGAAATTGCTTTACCTATAAGTTCTTAAAATTATGCCAGGCACCAGTGGCTCATGCCTGTAATACTAGCTACTCGGGAGGCTGAAATCTGAAGATTGCAATTCAAAGGCAGTGTGGGCAGGACAGTCTGTGAAACTCTTGTCTCCAATGAACCACTCAGAAAACAGGAAGTGGCGCTGTGGCTCAAGTGGTAGAGCTCTAGCTTTGTGCTGAAGAGCTGAAGGGCCAGTGCCCAGGCCTAGAGTTCAAGGCCCATGACCGACCAAAAAAAAAAACAACAAACTAGTTGCAAGCAGCAAGCATAATACCTGGTGGTATAAAAGCCAGCAATAGAGGAAAACAAATATTTTTAGCTTTGAACAAATACAACATTATCAGAACAGGACATTTATATGCAAAATATAAACTCTAGTGATATCTCAAAACTACATAAAAGGGGACTGGGAAGTTGGCTCAGTGGTAGAGTGCTTGCCTCGAATGCATGAGGCCCTGGGTTCGATTCCTTAGCACCACATAAGCAGAGAAAACTGAAAGTGTCACTGTGGCTCAAGTGGTAGGGCACTAGCCTTGAGCTGAAGAGCTAAGGGACAGGGCCCAGACCCAGAGTTCAGCCCCCACAACCCACCAAAAAACAAAAACAAAAAACAAACAAAAAAACTATAGAAAAACCAATAAAAATTAATTATACACTTGAATATTAACATAAAATTTCTGGAAGACATGATATACAAACTTTTCTACAAGAATCATCTCAAGATTTTGGTTTAGACAAAGGCTTTTCATAACAGACAAAACCCACAAATTGTAAAAGAAAAACCAATAAATCAGATTTTAAATTTAAAACTTCTGATCTTTCATGTTGAATGATAACCACTTTGTACAGCTGATTAAAGATAATAAAAACATAATTACTCCCCCCCAAAAAACTACTCTTTGAGAGACACAGTTAAGAAAAAATGAAAATTCAAGACACAGATTGATAGAACAAACATATTTGCAAAATAAGACAAGGGAAGAAAATATGGAGTCTTAAAGCAAAAGCAATGTTAATAAAGTCAATTAATGAAGAATTTATGTAGGATAATCTAATGACAGAATAACAAAATATTACAAATTCTATTTCTAATTATTATTTTAACTTTTCAAAATTACTGTGTCTAGGGCATATATATATATATATTTTAATTTATTTTTTTTTGCCAGTCCTAGGGCTTGAACTCAGGGCCTGGACACTGTCCCTGAGCCTTTGTGCTTTAGGCTAACACTCTACCACATGAGCCACAGAGCCACTGGGTCTCACAGACTTCTCTGCCTGGGCTAGCTTCGAACCACAATCCTCAGCCTCTTGAGTAGCTAATAGGATTACAGGAGTGAACCATTGGTGCCTGGTTAGGTTAGGCATAAAATATATTAGCACTTGTATGCTACATGGTTTTTAAATGGACATAAGGGGGAAAAATTAAATGTATGAATTAAGGTCTGGAAGTATAGCTCAAGTGGTTAAAGCACCAGCTGAGCAAGGGTGCAGAATAAGCCTTTTTTTCTTTTTTTTTTGAGGGGAGAGGGGGAGGTCCTGGGGATTGACTTCAGAGACTGAGCATTGTTTCTAAACTGTTGCACTCAAAGCTAGTACTTTACTATTTTGAGCCACAGCTTTTTTTCTTTTAGTCAACCTTTTGGTACAGAGTTTGGCACCAGGAAAAAGTGTTATTACACTGGTAAACCACTGGTTCATTATCATTTACTCATAGTATGGCCTGAAGACTGTTACCACACTTGAGTGCTTGTAGAAATGGCAACCTCAAGACACAACAGATATACTACCACAAAAGATCATCTTAACAAGAACTTCAAGTGGTATTATGTACAGCACTCATATGGTTCTCACATTTTATTGTGCATCAGAAATATAAAAAGGTTTGTTCCAACACAGATTTTGCTTATTATCTCCAGATATTTTGATGCCATAGGTTTAGGTCAGGGCTCAAGAACTGGCATTTCTAACACATGTCTAAGTGATGTTGATACTGTTGATTAGGGGACTTAGATAATCACTATTAATTATGAGTGACTTCAGGATTTTGTAAAACAAAAATGTACTCCAAAGTCTATGTAAGGGCTGAGAAGGTGGCTCAGTGGTAGAGCGCATGCCTTGCAGGCCAGAGGCCCTGGGTT